GCGGTCCCTGTGCTTTGCCAAGCTTGTTCCAAGTAGGTGCTTTAGACCACTGAGCCATCTCGCCAGCCCCGGGGAGTAGTACTTCTTAAAGTGCTTTCAAGTGGATGATTGATGAGTGCCCATCACATTGGAACATTACTTCTAAAAAGTAAACTCCGTGTGGTCAAGGACATGACTGCTTCGGTCCATTGTGTATGCCGCGTTTCTGGCACGTAGTAGATTCTCAGTAAATGTTTGCTGAATGTATAAATTGAACAGTCTGTGCTCCTACATCGTCCTCATCACCTGCAGTGTTTTTTCAGTTGTAAAAAGTGCTGTACTCCAATGCGATAATGTGGGCAAACCTGTACACTCAACTACTCAGCAGCTGAGATAAAAAGGATCCCAAATTCAAGGTTACCGCAGGCAACTTAGCAAGACTGTCTTGAAATAAAGGAGTGGAAATGTAACTCAGTGGTAGAGCACTGGCCTCGCATTTGTGAGGCCCTCCCTGGGTTCAACCCTCCGCATTGCAAGAAATAAAAAAAGAGAAAAGAATCGTGTCAGCTGCTTATTGTACACTGTGCTAAGGATTTTTTTTTTATTATTTTTTTTTAATTTTAGGGAAGGGTCTACAGGGTGTTCAGGGTCTCACTACTAGATCAGACTCGTAATGATCTGCCTCTTTACAGCCTCCCAAGGGCTGGGATTACAGGCACCCCCCACCACGCCCAGTCTCAATTGCTGTTTCTGCATGCCCCAGGGAACCCCTGGCCCCTGCCCTGTGACTGCTTGCAGGCACTTTAATCTGCTGAGCTATTAGACCCACCCTTTTGCTAAGGGTTTTAAATGCGAGAGTTTATGGATTTCTCACATTAACCCTATGAGATGTGATATCTAGGCCTAACAAATGAGGCTCAGAAATGTGAAGCAGCTGAGTGTGGGAGCGCACACTTGTCATCCCAGCCCCCGGGAGGCTGAGGCAGGAGGATCACCGTTGTGAGTTCAAGGCTAGCTTGGACTATGCAGTGAAACCTTGTCTCAAAACAAAAGAAATGTGAAGCAATTTATGCCAGGTCACTTTATCTATGAGCTGTATGCAGGCCTTTACAGAAGCCCTGTACTCTAATGCTGAAGTCTGTACCAGTGGAGACAAGGTGGTCTGTTGTGAGGACAGGATGTGGAAGTGATTTATAGGACCTGTCTGAGCCTGTCCGCAGCACTGTACACCTTTTCAGCGCCTTGAACTGAAGGCCCTTTCCCATGTCCTCTACTTTGTATCTCTGCCTACTAACTCTGTGCCTAAGCTGGGGAGATGGCTCAGTAGAATAAGCGCTTCCCTGGCAAGCACAAGGGCCTGAGTTCAATCCCCCATTCCGCAAAAAAAAAAGCAAAAAACCTCCGTGCCTCTCAGAGAGCAAGAGACGGGACAGGAAGGAAGAAGATGAGATTTATAAACTGTGTAGGCACTGTGCTAACCAAATCCACCCCAGTCTACTAGATTAATAGCATTAATAACTATTAACCTAGTGAGCTTTGCTTTGTACCCAGTGATTTACAAAGCATATAACATAAATTGTTCTACCTAAGACCCAGATGTTACCCATATTTCATCATGTACAAACTGAGGCTGAGATCAGGTGACTCCCCAAGACCATATCCTCCATCTGTGCCCATTTTTGTCATTTCAGACATGGTTGCAGTTCTAGGGGAGACCACAGGCTACTACACCCTGAAGGGCCTCAGGAACCAGATGAGGAGGGATCCAGAGGGTGCCCAGATCCTACAGTAGGTCCTATCTCTGCTTAGGGACATTCTCTAGGAATCCTGCACTCTCTAGAGTCAGATTGTGTTAGTCCTGTTTCTCTAAAGAAACTTTGGGTGGTTTTTTCTCAGAATTGAGGATTTTTTTCCCACAGATACTTTTTATTTTGCCAAACATAATCAAAGAAAAACCAATTCGTTTGCAAAATAAGCTTAGTAGGTTTTGGTTATTTTTCTAGTTGTGCTGTACTGGGGATCAAACCCAGGAATGCTCTATCACTGAGCTACATCTCAGCCCTTTTTATTTTCTGAGAGAAAGTCTCAATAAATTGCCCAAACTCTGGGCATGGTGGCACATCCCTATAATTCTTAGCACTGGCTAGGATGAGGCAGGAGGATTGCAGCAAATTTGAGGACAGCCTAAGCTACACAGTGAGATCCTGTCTCAAAAAAAAAAAAATTGTGTCTGAGCTGGCCGCAAGCTTGTGGTCCTCCTGCCTCAGCCTCCTGAGTAGCTAGGATTAAAGACTTGCCCTAAAACATCCTGTTAGAGGACGCTTCTTGATACCCTGTCCATAGAGAGTGGGGACTGCCCAAGTTCAGGGTTCTCATTCACATACTTGCGTATGTACTATAATGACCTCTGACGTGTACAGAGTGCTGGCCCAGTACCAGCCACGGGACTCTGTCTTCATTAAGCTCCCGTGACACATACTAGCTGTACCTCTTCCCTGTGGGACCTTTTGTGAGCAGTGTGAGCACGCTGGAGGCCGGCCTCCTGTGTCCTTGGCTTGTGGCAGTCTTAGTCCTGACACTGCCCTGGCACAAGAAGCCACCATTAGTACCTGTACCCAGCCCTCCTCCCCAGGCTTGCTCTAGTCGAACCCTTCAAGTCCTTGCTGGCTGCATCCCAATACCCAAGTCCTGCCTTCTGCCTTTCAGGGAGCGTCCCCGAATCTCACTGGCCACCCTCGACATGGGCAAGCTCCGGAGCCTGCCTGAAGGCTCCCTTGGCCGCGAGTATCTCCGTTTCCTGGAAGTGAACGTGAGTTTCCAACTTGTGTGCATCTGGCAATCACCAGGGCAGGCCGAGAATCTAGTGACCACTAGGCCAGAGGAGTCCTGTGCTCACGCGTTGGGCAGAAAGGTGTCTACTCTCATGCCACCTTACCCACTTCTACCCAGCCTCCTCTCCATCCCATCAAAGCCCTCTGTTGAGTGGCTTTGTCACTTTCTGTGGCATGGGCCTAAAGATCCAGAACATGGCTCAGAAGGCCATTGGTTGTTTTTTGTTTTTGGCAGAACCAGGGATTGAACCCGGCCCCTATGCTTGCCAGAGAAACGCTTATTCTACTGAGCCATTTCCCTGGCCCCATAAAGATGCGAGGTTCAATCTTTTTTTTTTTTTTTTTTTCAGAACTGAGGATTGAACTCAGACCCTTGCGCTTGCCAGGGAAGTGCTTATTCCACTGAGCCACCTCCCCAGCCCCATGGCCATTGGTTGTTAACCTCACGCGCATGCCAGGTGCTAGGCTCAATTGCACTCTCCCAAATCCTCCCAACACAAACAAACAAAATAAAAGGGGAGGAAGGGCTAGGGAGATGGCTCAGTGGAATAAGCGTTTCCCTGGCAAGCGCAAGGACCTGAGTTCAATCCCCGGTTCCGCCAAAAAACAAACAAACCAAATCCTCCCAACAGCACTGTTGTGTGTGTCCTGTTATTATCCCCTTGTAATACAGAAGGAAACCAGATGCTCTGAGCAGTTAAGTAACTTGCTAATTGCCCACAGAGAGGATTACCAGAGACCATATGCAGCCCCCCCCCCTTTTTGCAGTACTGGGGATTGAACTTAGGACCTTACACTTGCCAGGCAAGCACTTATTCTACTGAGCCATCTCCCTGGCCCCCCACATAGTGTTTTGTGCTGCCACGCTATGTCACCCACCTCCTGGGACACTACGGCCCTCCTGGGCTGGCACGTTGGGCGGTCTTCTCCAGCCCCAGGCAAAGATGGTGGCAAGGTAGGGTGTAGGGGAGTTGAGGGGTTTCAAGGTAACGATAACAGCTTGCTTGCCTGGCATCTGCCCTGCGCTATCCACGGTTCCACAAGCTGGGGTTATGGCAGGCGAGGCCCTGCCCTCATGGAGCTTGTATTCTAGTTGCCGAGCTGAGGAATGGTAGGTTTTAAAAATCTCATAAAATTCAGGTAAAGTATTGATTGAGTACAATGAACATCCAAGCCCTGTTCTCCACAGTGAGGGCACATGAGTGAAGCCAACACAAAGCCTGGTTTATGGTCCTTAAATCCGAGCCACGTGCACTGTGAACAGAGCACGTTCCCACAACGGGATGGCTCTGGTGTGGCAGAGTGAAGGTCGCTTCTGATCGGTCAGGAGAAGCCCTCCGAGGAGACCAGGAGGATGTGCAGCAGCCAGTGTTGGAGAGAGCTGCGGAGGAACACTCCAAACAAAGGGAATGGCGAATGTGAAGGGTGTGTGTGTGTGTGTGTGTGTGTGTGTGTGTGTGTGTGTGTAACTGGAGATTGAACTCAGGCCTCTGCGCTGAGCTCCATTCCCAGCGCTTTTTTATTTTTTGGAAAGTCTTCCTCAGTCATTAAGCTGCCCGGTCTGGGCTCAAACTTGCTTCAGTCTGTTAAGACTGCAGGGATGGCAGGCCTGTGCCACCAGGCCTGGCATGTTCCGTGTATTTCTTTTTTTTTTTTTTAATTAATTAATTTATTTGTGTGTGTGTATGTGTGTGTGGCCAGCTCAGCCCACCAGGAGGCAGGGCTGGCTGGCATGTGGTGCTGGGGGATTGAACCGCGGTCCCTCTGCTTTGTTAAGCTTGTTCTAAGTAGGTGCTTTAGACCACTGAGCCATCTCACCAGCCCCTGTTCCGTGTATTTCTAAAACAAAATTGTATTGCTTTGGGATGCGCAGCTCTGTGGTGCAGCACGTGCACGGATTCAGTCTCCAGGACCAAAGTGCACAAAAATGGAGCGGACAGCCCCATGCCAAGCTCTGTCCTAGCTCAGGAGCAAGCCGGGCAGAGTAGGGGAAGGGGTGACCAAAGGTTGCTGTACAGCAGGGTTTCTCAACCCTGGCGCTCAGATACACTGGATAATGAACGCTTTGTGGTGGGCGTCGTCCTGTGCCTTGCAGGACATTTAGCAGCCTCCCTGCTCTCTGCCTCCTTGATGCCGCAGAAGTCCCCCCATCACGGCGATGCCCGATGTCTGCAGCCAGTGAGGGCTGGGATGGTGCCTGCCTAGCAAGCACAAGGTCCTGTAGTACCAAAAAAAAAGCACTGTGCCCAAGACAGCACCCCTCCTTGGCAGGGCATTCACCTGCACTGGTGGATGCCATCTCCCTCAGATTTCTCTGGGGTGTAGATTAGTCCATCAGTGGGAACCCTGGGGGAGGGGTGGAGTGGGGGTGCCCAGGAGCACCCTGGGCTCCTCGCCCAGTGACTGCCCTGGTAAGACTGCCCAGAGAGGTGGCACTTGTGGAACGAAAAATGCAGCAGCCCACAGAATAGGATAAGCACCTTTGACCAAGTGAGATTGAGGGTGAGGACACCTGCCCTGCGGCTGGCCTTGCTGAGGGATGTGGTCACCAGGGGCATAAAGATGAGAGACCAATTCCAGCCTCTGTCACGAGATTTACAATGCAAGCTGAAGTGAGGACACCCAGTCTTTGTCTGCAGGCCTTCACTGACTGGGGATTGAACTCAGGCCCTTGCGCTTACCAGGCGGGCACTTATTCTACTGAGCCATCTCCCCGGCCCCTTATGCTAAGCTATCTTGCCAGCCCTTTGGGGCTTTGTTTTACCTGTAGCTAAGGTAAAAACAGAATCTGCTTCCTAGATTGTTGTATTTTGTTTCAGTTTGGTTTTTTTGTTTTTGTTTTTTCTTTTTGAGATAGGGTCTCACTATGCTGTTCAGGCTGGCCTTGAGCTCACTTTGTAGCCCAGGATGGTCTGAACTTGCCACGATCCTCCTGCCTCAGCCTCACCAGTGCTGGGATTACAGGTGTGTGCAACCACACCCTGTGTTTCCTAGATTGTTGAAAAGGACATGGCCATGGTAGGGACTCAGTAGAAGAGACTCCCAATACTGTGATCATTTCAGCTTCACACAGTAGGTGGAAACACCAAAGAAACCATGGCACTGAGCCAGCAGCCTCCATGCTGTGACAACCTCACGTCCCTTGGCTTCTCAGAACAGGCTGCTCTCACCTGGGCCCAGCCGAGGACTCAGGAGACAGGTGAAGGAGGATGTTCGACCTCCTCCCCTGGGCTTGGAGGAGTGCCGGACTGGCCCTTTACACCCAGATGTTCAGCGCCCCAGGCCCTGGACCAGCACCAGAGAGAGGTATGGCAGGCGGCACAGCAGCCAGCGCTGCCCTCGTGCAACGACACTGTCCACAGAAATAGAACTTAAGTGGCTCATGATGGCACCCACTTGTAATTCCAGCACGCAGGAAGCTGAGGCAGGAGGATCACTGTGAATCTGACTCTAGCCTGGACTATATAGTGAGTCCAGGGCCAGCCTAAACTACCTATCAACAGCCTGTCTCAAAAAGCCAAAATACACAAGCAAAGACTCAAGCCAGATATGTCATTTAAAGCTTTCTACTAGCAATATTTATTTATGCACTGCTGAGAATCAAACCCAGGGCTAGCATGCAAAAGCATGTTAGGCCAGTGCTCTGCCAGTAAGCTGTATCTCCACCCATTTGATTTTTTATTATGAGACAGGGTCTTGCTGTAGAGCCCAGGCTGGCTTCAAACTCCAGCCAGTCCTCCTGCCTCAGCCTCTACACTACAGTGTGATACGTAGTGATGACTTTCGTCATGGAGATTTGGTGCTTGTATACAACATGTCTCAGTTCTTTTTACTTCTCTCTGTCATCCCACCCCAGCCTCTCTATTTCATTGTAGTTTTGTTTGTTTTTTTTTTTTTAAAGCCCATGGTGGGCTGGGGAGATGACTCAGTGGAATAAGTGCTTCCCTGGCAAGCACAAGGGCCTGAGTTCAATCCCTGATTCCATGGCAAAGTTTACCATCATGACCATTTTCAAGTGTGTTCACTAGCATTACGTAGGTTCATCTGCTTACACAACTAATCTCCATCTTGCAAAATGAAAACTCTGTGCCCACTCAGAAGCTCCACAGCACCCCTTCCCTGCCCGCTGGATCACCGCCCTGGTGGCCCAAAGGCCACTGCCATTCCCCAGGAGTCAGGTGGCTACATTCCCTGCCCATGGCCTCCTGTATGGCCAGAGTGGGCAGAAAGTGCCAGCGTTTTCTGGAAGGGAGTGAGTCTGGTGGGGAGTGGTTGCCCATGAAGAGACTGGCACACAGGGTGCTGGGAACTTCTGGGAAGGGGACTAAGGAAGGTTCTTGCATGGCAGAGGGTCTCCCCGGACACCCGAGTGCCCACCCGCTTTGTGGACGATGAGGAGCTAGCCTACGTGATCCAGCGGTACCGGGAGGTCCACGACATGCTCCACACCCTGCTGGGGATGCCCACCAACATCCTGGGTGAGTGCCTGGTGACAGTGCTCTAGCTGGTCATCTCCCAGTCTCTGAAGGCCAGGGCCAGGCTCACCCATCTCCCCTGTGTGCCCGTCAGCTGGCCCAGTGTCTTGTACTCCACATGAACATCAACCCCTCTTCTCTGCCCCAGTGCTCCTTTGTGCCACCTACATGGGTGGCATGGCATGCAGACACCCTGGCTCCTCCCCTGTTCAGGCTTTCAGCTGCTCCTGGCCAGCTGGGAGACCCTTTGTGCCTCCCTAAGGCTCCCTTCCTAGTTTCTTAAGCCTCGCTTTCAAGGTCCTCTGCATTCTGATTCCCCACTTCCCTTCCAGCCTTCATCACCTGCTTTCTCCAGCCCCTCCACCCCGAGCCAAGTGTCCCAGGGCAGCACAGTCTGTGACAGGGCAGAGCTGAGTCCTGATAAAATCAGGGAGGGCTGGGAAGGTAGCTTAGCAGAATAAGCACTTGCCTGGCAAGTGCAAGGGCCTGAGTTCAATCCCTGGTTCTGCAAACAATAAATAAATAAATGAATAATAAAAAGTCAGGGAAGCTAGCAAGACTACTGTGCCCACTCTGGGCATCTGCTCACCTCCTACCTACTTGTCCCCAGGGGAGATCGTGGTGAAATGGTTCGAGGCTGTGCAGACAGGCCTGCCAATGTGCATGCTGGGTGCGCTCTTTGGACCTGTCCGCCTCAGTGCTCGGTAAGTTGTCTGGTGCCACAGACTGAGGGTTACATGGGAGTGAACTCAGGAGCCAGGACTCCAGGAAATACAAAGGGAACACAGACACCTGCTATTCTGTGGCTGTCCAGGAAGCAAGAGTAGGAAGACGGAGTCTAAAAAGGGAATGTGTGGGCTGGTGAGATGGCTCAGTGGTCTAAAGCACCTACTTAGAACAAGCTAAGCTCAAGCAAAGCACAGAGACCTCGGTTCAATCCCCCAGCACCACATGCTGGCCCGCCCACCTCCTGGTGGGCTGAGCTGGCCACACACTAAATAAATAAGTAAATAAATAAATAAA